TGTGGGCTCTCTGGGCATCAGTTTTCCAGAGAGTGGAAAGAACAGGGAAAGAGGGAACTTCCTCCCACAGTGTGAAGCCCTGAGGTAGTGACTTCCCACCCACCTTTTTCCTACTGCCCTGTGGGCTCTGCTGTGGCAGTTCCCAGTGGTAAGGAGGTTCCGAGACCCGAAGCCTGCACCTGCTGGCGGTGCCCGGGGCTGTGGCTGGCGACCCGCCTCGTGTCTCCCCCGCCCGGCGCTGGGCGCTGGGGACGGGTGCAGACCCAGGCTTGGGAGCGGGCAGAGGTGGGCAGATCCCGGCTGCTGCTGGTTTCTCTGAGTCTGGGGGCAGCTGTGGATCGACAAAGATCCCTCTTGCGCTTGGTCCACTAGCAGACACTTCTGGCACCCGCTGTGGGGACGGGGGCTCAGAACACAGGCCAGCCCTGCCCTTGGGCAGCTCGCGGTCTAGCTGGCTCAACACCCGGGCAAGAGCAGCGCTGGTATCACTGTTTGCGTTACGTCTCCTGGAAGTCAGGCGCCTTTCATACCTTACTTATTTTCACAAAATCTTCTAAAATGTTCCAGTTCAGAGTGGAGCACACAGACACTTGAAGAGGCAGCGCTAAGCACGGACCCGGGTCGTCAGGTCGTCTCTCTCCGAGGGGACCTTCGCACCGCTGACGGAGCGCAGCGGCCGCCGCGGATGGTCAGTCCCCGCTGCTGCCGCGCGGGCTGCCCCCCCCCCGCCCACCCCCCTCCCCCCGCTGCAGGCTCCAGAGCCGGGGTGCAGATGCGTCTTCATATCTCCTGAGTTGCTTCATGGAAAGCACCAGAATAAACGCAGGGCGGTAAGCACGTTTTCTTCTGCCCATGGACCCCGCTCAACGGGGCTCTCAATTACCGACCTCGCTCCTGCCTCGGGCTTCTCACCTTGTTGCTGAGGTGAAAACCAAGAAAAAGTCTTTCTCGTGGTAAAGAGGCAGCAGTCAAGTCCAGGTCTGCCGCAAGTGGTCAGGTGACGGTGCATGGCTAGAGCAGCCAGGACGCCCCAGGACTGACCCTCCTGACGCCCGGCTGCGGAGGGGGACGCCGCTGACCCCCGTTTCCTCATCGTTGGTCCGTGCTGGGGGCCAGCAGAGGAGCAAGGCGGGAGAGGTCCCCTTCGGGGACCATGGGAGCAGCACTCCGTGGAGCGCGAGATTTGCTTTCGGTACAGTTTCCTCTCTGAGAAAACAGAGGATGTAGTCATGTATTAATCAGAAGAAATTAGCATAAATAAGGCTTCCTTTCTCACTTTAGTGATTAACTTTTGCTAAAAAGAGGAAACAGGCTCTGAATATGATATTTTAAAACTTTCAAGTCAGATTATCGAGCTAGAGTTGACATGACGTAAAGCGCAGGTGGGTAATTTTGTGAGATTTGCAGACGTGGGCTGTGGAAACATCACCACAATGAAGACTGGAATGTTTGCCTCACCCCGTCCTCTCCCTGGGCCCATCGCCCTCGCTCCTCAGCGCCTGGCGACCTCTTGGGTTTCTGAGGTTGAGCTTTTGCCTTTTTCTGACGGGCGCGTCAGGGAAACAGCAGCTTTCCACGCTGGCGTTTCCTGCTGACAGAGCGCTTGGAGCCGCCGTGACTGAGCCAGTGTGCTGGGGTTGCTGAGTCCCTGCTCTGCCCCAGACTCAGCCTCCTGTCCGCAGGGGCCGCGTCACGGCTCATCCCGCCGGACTACTCCAGCAAGGCCCGAGAGGGTCCGCACACGGCTGGTGATTTCTCTGGGTGAATACCCAGCCGTGAATGACTGGCCCGGGCAGGCCGTGTTCGGCCTTCGGAGAAATGCCTTAGCTGGTGGCGAGGCGCCCCGGGCCGCGGCGCGGGGCCCCAGCTGTGCCGCATGAGTGTGTTGAACATGGTCTCTCTGGGTTTGGTGCTAGCCCGCATGCAGGTGTGTCCTGGGGAGTTGGGGTGCTTAGCTACAGTCACGTAAAAGGCAGTGCACTCCGGGAGACAGGAAAGAGACCTCTGCAGAGCGCAAATGCTGTGATTTTTGCAAAAGTCAGACATTGGGTAAATCGGCACCCTCCTGTTTCAAAACCCAGTAAAAGCAAGGTCTACTTGTTCAGCGGCTTATTTGGAGCGAGCTGCAGGGTGGCAAACGGAAGGTGGTTTCCCCTGTAGAGACCATCTTCCTTCTCGGCTGAGGACTGGCGCTCCACCTGCTTGGCCTCCCTCTGTGCTGTCACCCCAACGTTAGCACTTCAAGGGGGGTGGTGAGGACCCCACGGGCTGGTGGGCTGCAGCTTCTTGAGGACAGAGCCCCCCGTGGGGGTCAAGTCCTCCCCGGCGCTGGGGTGATCTCCCTGTTTGTCCCGTATTCGCGCCCTGTCCTTCCAGGAGGCCAGCACTGCGTGGGGGCAGGGACTGTTCCCTCGGCCTCGCGGTCTTGCAAGTGCTGGTCAGTAACTCCCTGCGGCTGGGGGGGCCGCGTGCTCGCTGGCATCTGCACAGGCGCAGGGGGAGAAAGGGCCAAGGAGCCAGGCAGCGGCTTCCAGGCCCAGTGCTTGGGGGAGGTGTGGGTGGCTGATAACTGGAAAAAGTCAACACTTACCATGGAAGGGACTTTTTTACATGGGGGAGCTCTAAGGAGACAGCCCGCATGCCATTTTCTCCTAACCCCCAAGATCCTCGCGGTGGCCGCCCCGGGAAACAGGAGGGCCTCTTTGCGCAGGGCTGCCCCTCCTGGCGGTCACTCAAGGGCCGCTGGGAGAAGGCAGGCGTCGAGGTCGGCGGGCAGGTGCAAACGAAGACACCAGGACTCTTCCAAGTGTCCAGCGGGACGGGACCTCCGGGGGCCTGGGAGATTAGGAAGCTGACACGGAACGCAGAAGGGGAAGGGCCCCCGCGTCCAGGAGGAGAGGGGCTCCCCGCGCTCACCCCGCACTCGTGCCTTGGCCGGGCTGTTCGCGCGGCCGCCGCTGTCTCCCTAACGCCGTGTGCAGGTGACCGGCGTAGGGCACCGTGAGGCAGCCCCCACCGACACCCTCCACACCAGTGTCTTTGGGGTCACCTGCTGCTGGCACACGGGCAGCACTTCATAGCCTGGGTTCCCCCGAATTAGGGTCTGTGGTGCCTGCAGGCTGGCGGGGCAGGGAGGCCCAAAAAGCAACCGAGCCCCCCAGGAATCTTTCCACGTTCCCGGCCCCCCCTGCTTTGTCTCTCCCACGGCTGTTGCACCCCCCTGTGCCGTCCAGTACCGGCCAGTCCCGCCCACCACCACGCCATCGTCTCTCCCAGTAGCGCCTTCTATCCCGCCCTGCAGCCCGGGCGTGCCCACTCACTGCCCACTCACACACGTGCACACACCCACGCGCCAGGTGTCCACACCAGGCCCGCGTGCCCTGCAGGTGATGGCCGCGGAGGCTGATGGCGCCACAAGCCTGATGGATTCACTCGCCCTACAGGCTTGAGGCATTTTCTGCCCCATTTTGCATGAAAGCGAGGTTGTCCCTGGGTGGCACCCCAACCCCCTCCCCTCCAGGCTACCTGGGGTCAGATCCTGGGCCTCTTGGCCTCTCTCCACTGCTGGCCCTGAGCTTCTGGCTGGAAAGTGCTCCCTTCCCCCAGCTGCTGGTTAATTTCTCACTCGTTTTTTAAGGCTGAAGTGACGTTTCTGAACTTATTTTTCTTCGTCTGCAAAGCTAGAATCATCCTCATGTGTTCTGTCTGGTTACCTGTCTGCAGACGACCTGTCTGTTCAGGTCATCATGAAGAAATACTGGGACAGGGGCTAGAATGATGGAATTTCCTTGCTCACAATGCTGAAAGCTCAAGACCAAGATCTTGCTGCGGCCTGGTTTCTGGGAGGCCCCCGCCCCGCTCGGCCTGGCGCACGTGGCCTGTCTTTGCACCACAGGAGGTATCTTGTCTTTCACCTGAGTCTGGGTGGTGCGTGTCACGGACGGTCTCCAATGTCCCCAGTCCAAGTTGACAATTCTAGATGGATTTTAGATTCAGATTTTTCTCCAATTAAACACGACCCAAGCAGCCTGTATTCTACCCAGTAACAGAGTGCCGGCGGGCGGCCAGGGGCTGGCAGCGGCCTGTAACCAGGCACGTTGACATTTATGGGCCATCGAAGCGTCTTCACGCTGTGGGCTGGTGAGGCAGGATGGGAGCGACTCACCCGCTGCCCGGGGAATGCCCAGGCCTGCTCCCGGATGCCCGTCTCGCTGCCCCTTGGCTAACAAAGGGAAATAGAGTTTGAAGAGAAGCAAAGTCGTTTACTTTGTCGATGAACTGAGGAGCAGCAGACTCTTGCCTGAAAGACCTCATCCTGCCTTTGGCAGAGGGCAGGGGTATTATCCGGAGTCGGGGGGCCAGGAGGGGTGGGGGCAGGGGTCAGTGGCTGATGGAGCGTCCCTTGAGGCCAGCCGGCTTCCACCATCCCTGGTGGCCAGCAGTCAGATGTGCTCTTTCTAACGATGCTCTTTGCCTCGGAATGTAAGAAAGCTTACCTTGAGGCCTAGACAGTAAATGAGGAAGGGGCGACCTTCCTTGCTGCTTCAAACCCGGGGAAGACTGCAGGTCAGAGGCCCAGGACCAGCGGGCCAGCGGGGCCAGCGGGGGGGTGGTCCCCACTCAGCACCCCTGGCTTTGGTGGAAAGAGAAGGGAAAACAGCAGACGGAGAGGAGCAGGCAGGTTGGGGGCTTCCTCCTGCAGCCCGCCCCTCGGGCCCAGGAGCTCTGGAGACGCCAGGGCAGCCTGTTTGCCTGGGTGGGGGCGGCGGGCAGCGGGGGACGGCCTCGAGCATAGCCAGAGACGTCTGCAGGACCCCCCGGCGGCTGCTGCTCTGGAGGCCGCTGCCTCCGCCTGAGCTGAAGCGCAGCTGTTTCTCTGGCCCGGGGTGTAATTAAAACCTGTCAAAGCAATGGGCCGGCGCGGAGGGGGCTTCGACCCACGTGTACGTGTGAAGACTGTTCTGTCAGCGGTGTTTGGAGCCTGGGAAGAGCACGCTCACGCGAGGGGGCTGGAGGGCAGTTCCGCCTCCCGAACCAGGGGCCGGTGGCCTCGGCCTCGCTGACGCCCCCGAGTTCACGCGCCTGCTCTGGGCCGCCGCAGACGCCGACGGCTGCAGAGCTCATCCCGTCGTGAGCGTCGTGAGCGGCCGGCATGCACGCCCGCTCGGAAGGGACCTTTCGCTCTGCTCCCGCTGAGCCAGAGAACCCGCTGCGGGTGGAAGGGGTGACTTGGCAAGGGTGGCTTTGATCTCCGTACTTACTCTGCACACAGTGAGGAAAGGGAGGAGGCGTGGAAGCTCCGTTTATGACGAGTTATTTTAGGGACCCCGCGGTCATTTCAGTATCAAATGGCAAGTGGGTTGCTGAGAAGGCCCAGCTCTTGCAGGGTGTGGGGGTGACAAGCGGTTTTGCTCCACCCTGAAAGATGCTCAAGTTGGGTCACCGACAGGTGGGCGACTGGCCGTGATAGTGGACAGCGAGCATCGCCGGGCCTCACCGTCGGGCTTCGAGACGGCCCTCGTGCGCTGCTCACCTCTCTCTGGTCTCATTTCTGTTCTGCTCCGTCCAGTTCACAGCTGCACGCATTGACTCGGAGTGGTTAGATGACGTGCACAGAGAAGGCGGCTGGCCTCAGAAGCCTCGCGTTTCCCAGAGACCAGCCCCCTCCTTGCGGGCAGGGCGGAGCAGCTGGCCGTCCAGCCGGCCTACCTGCGGAGGTGGGGGGAGCTCGCGGCTGGGCAGACTGGATCAGATCTCTCTCAAGGCCTTGAATCTATTCTGGAAACTCTTTCGCAGGTTGCTAACGCCTCCCTGACATTTTCTGTAGATATTTTGAAAGCACGAAGCTTATTTCAGAGGCTTCTAAAACACAAGTCACGCGCTGTGGGCTCAGGATGGGCCAGGCACTCCGAGCCTCCAGATGCAAGCAGCCAGCTCGGTCCTGAGCACTCCGGCCCCTTTTCTGCCCCGGGCTGATGAGCAATAGGTGCTCATGGGAAAAGACCACACGCGCTTCCTTTCTTCTCAGAAAAGTCATCTGGCTGGGCCCTCCCTGATGGCGCAGCGGGTTAAAGCACAGCACTAAGAAACTTAAGCCACTTCCGCACGAGTTCGATTCCCGCCTGCCCTGGAGGTGACCACATGGCGTGGCAGACCTCTCCTGACCCGCCCGCTGCTCCCCTCAGCAGTGTGCTTCATTGACCTGCCTGTTCTGCTCCCCACTCTGTCTCTGGTGAATCCTCTCACCCTCCGCATCTCTGGCCTGTACCCCAGTTCTGTATGAATAAATAAATAAATCTTTAAAAAAAAAAAAAAGTCATCTGGCTGGGCCTCGAGCGTGTTCTCTCTCCTGTGGAAGAGGAGACAACAGCTGTCCGACTCAGGGCGGCCATGTGGCGAGCCGGGATTCGAACTTAGTCTTCGGACTCGGGGCCCCGCAGCCAGGTGGCTGTTGCCGCGTGGTCTCAGGGCATGGCATCCGCTGTGAGGACTAGGGAAGGGCCCTTCCCCGCTGCGTTTCCTGTGCGCCTCGCCCCGTGACGCCCGGCCGGAGGCTGCGTGTCTGCTCGGCAGGCTGCACCCCTGGAAGTGGGCCGGCCTGAGCTTCCTTCCAGGTCCGAGGATCTGGGGCGCCAGGCTCCCTGGAAACCCGGCGCCTCTGAGGGCCCATCTGGACACACGAGAAGTCCTACGTCACTGTCACCCCCTCTGCTCCCCGAAGGGCTCTGGGGCAGCCTGTGCCTGACGAGGGGAGCCCCGAGGACACTTAGGCCGAGTGCAGCTAACGGCTGGATGTCAGTTGGGAGAAGGTGCGGAGCTCGTGTCATCAGAACTATTTGGTTCTCTTGTACTGAAACATCCCACAAATGACAGTAATTATCAAGTCCTGCCTGACATGACATTTCTCCAAAACATGAGAAGATGTTCCGGAATTTTCTCTTCCCCCTCCCTCTCTCATGCCTCCTCCCTCTCTGCTCAAGTTCATATTCACGTTCACTCACTTTCCGCGTCCCACAGCACGTCCCTCCTCTCCCCACTGACCCCACGGTGTCCCCTCCCTCCCCAATCTCTGGCCAGGAGCTGACCCGGGGCTGGGATCCAGGACAACATCCTCCAGCATGGCTCTGAGGCCCCGAGGCCCAGGGCCCTTTGCTGCACGCCCTGGGGGTGAGGGGGGCTGGGACCGCCACGCCTCGGGTCCCATGGCCAACGTGGCAGCTGATCTTCCATAGGAAACACTGGCCGTGCACACTGCGCCCAGACAGATCTGTTCCAGAATCATTAGCTATTTACTTAAAAAACAAACAAACAAACAAAAAAACCCTTATTTTTTAAAGAGTGGTTTTAGGCTTGTCACAAAACGGAGTGGAAAATGTAGCGTTCTTCTACACCCTCCCCACAAGGTGCGGCCTCCCCCACCATCAACACCGTACCGGGGTACGGCAGTCACCATCCGCGAATCACCACCGACATACCACCCTTGCTCAAGGCCCTGGCTACTCCAGGCTGCACTCTGGGTGCCTGGACGCCTGTGGGGGACACAGCACCAATGTAGAGCAGACAGCGAAATCCTCAGCGCTCCGTAACGCAGCCGGCTCCCTGCCCCCATGGCCGGCCACCGCTGACGCTTTCACTGTCTCCACAGCTTTGCCTTTTCCACATGGTCAGAGTCCTGCAGTATGCAGGATTAGTGCGGTTTTATGTGAGTCTTAACTTCAGAGCATGTCAATTCTCTGACTTTGTTCTTCTCTTTCAATATTGAGTTGTCTAATTTAGTCTTTTGCTTCTCCTAGGAATTTTTGAATCTGTCTCTTAATGGCCACCAAACATGTTCTCAGGCTTCTGATTGGGATTGCATTGAATTTATAGATCAAACTTGGAAAGAACTGATAGCTTGGTGAGCCTTCCTATCCATGAACATGGAATAACTCTTCATTTATTTAGTTTTGCTTTAATTTCTTTCATCAGAGAGTTATAGTTTTCCTCATAAAGATCTTAAACAAAATTTCGACAGACTTGTACCTTAGCATTTCATTTCTTAGGGGGCGGCTAATGTAAATATTAATGTAATCATGGGTGTGAGTCAAAAGGGAGATTGTTCTCGGTGGGTCTAGTCTAGTCAGTTGAGTCTCTCAAGGAGAGTTGGGCACTCACTGAGATGAGAGCAGTCCTGATGCTGGCCTCAAAGTGAAGCCCCCCATGAGTTCTATAGTTGCAAGGAAACAAATTCTCCCACTTAGCAGTAAGAGGATCCTGAGCCTCAGATAAGACGTTAGCCCTAGCCCACACCTTGAGCAGAAAGAACCCAGCTAAACCTTGGCCCGATTCCTGCCCTAAGAAAACTGTGAGATAAATGTGTGTTTGAAACTGTTGTGTTTGTGGTAATGCCTTACACGGTAACAGAGACCAGGTCCTTCTTCTGCTGTGCTGAGCTCTGGGATTAAGGGATTTGGAGAATGCCTACGAGCTTTTATATTTTTTATTTTTACAGTGAATATATATTGATTTTGCAATGTAAGAAAAGGAAAATGCTAAAGAACTTGGTTGGGGAAGAGGAGGATTCTTTGCCCTCCACACACTCAGTGTGCATTAGAAGTTCGCTCAAGGAAGATACCCCAGCCTCTCCCAGGGACTGCCGGCCCCAGGCTGGTGAGGCCTGCAGAGCCTTCCTCTGTTTCCTGTGGTCTTCCTTCCTCACAGCATCAAAGCAACCCAATCTCAAGCCCAGAGGGGGCCCTCCCTCCACCCCCAAGGCACCAGCTGGTCCACATGGGTCTACACTCCTGGTCTGACATGGGTCTACACTCCTGCCCTGGGCTCAGTGCTCCCGCCCACCACCAGGCTGAGTGACTCACCGCTGAAAGGAGCCAGGGACAGAGGTGCAGGGACTCGAAGGAAGTGGGCCCAGCCGGACAGGGCCCAGGAGACTTTGGGTCCCTCCCTCCTTCTCCTTCCCCTTCCTCCCTCCCTCCTCTCTCCCCTTCCTTCACTCTCTCTTCCTCCCTTCTCTTCCCTCTCCTGTTCCTCACTCTTCTTTCCTCCTCCCTTTGCTTCACATTTTCAGCATCTTATAGCTCATAAAGCCCTTTCACACCCAGTCTTATATTTGTTCCTTAGGAGATCCTAGAGTCCAGAGGGAAAAGGTTATAGTTCCACTTTGCACATGAAAAACGGAGGCATAGAAGAACAAAACTCCAGGAGTTGGGACAGGCCCCCCAGGGTTCCGTTGAATCTCCTCCCTACTCCTGTCCTCCCTCCAAAGCCCCCCCCCCCCCCCACTTGACTTCCAGGGACACTCGGACACTAGGTTCAGACAGGGTCCTCTGGCCAATCAACCCTTTGGTCCCTGAGTCGAGGAGTGGCGGTTCAGCAGTGCCAATAGCTACACAGCAAATAACAATGTAAGTGTTTGATGGAGAGCAGAACTGAATCTTAATGAAAGTTACTAAATTCAGCAAAACACAAAGACATTTTAACAGAACAGAAGTGATTATTCCATATAAAGGGACCAGATTACAGCCTGCATCAGTTTTTGTCTAGACAAATCACTTAGATACACATGTGCTGGTTTTAATTAGCACTGTGAAATTAAGCATTCTGCAGCCCCAAATGTTATTGTTCAACAAATAAAAAATACATATTTAATAAAGAAAATGCGGTGCAAACACTCACGTCTCACAATGCTTAAATAGATGGTGTTTTTTCCCTTCCCTATTTAAATAAAAACCCACATGAGTCAAAAATTTCTTCCTTTTGCATCTAATAGAAGGTTTTGTGTTCCCTCGCCCCCCCCCCGCCCCGTGAAATCACAAAATGTACAATTCTGATGGAAATAAAACCAAGACTGAACATAACACGGCAAGAAACTCCATTTTTAGCCCCAAAGTCCAGACTTTTCCTCTGGGTCAGCCCTTCAGGAAATTCTCCTCAGGCTTCAGCTCTGGACTCAAGTTTCTGTGCTGGAGCAACCCACGCTGAGAAGACAGCAGGTCTCTGCTTTTCTTATCGTTCGGCACCCCCCCCCCCCCAGCTAAGGCTTGATAAACCCGCCCGGCCCGAGTCAGATGATGAAGGGTCGGTGTCCAGAGCCCTGGAGGACATGGGAGAAGCCAGCAGGAAGTGGAGCCGGACACCGCAGTGTGAGGAAGGGGGAAGGTCTCCGCCTGCTGCAGCGTCATCACACAGCCGGGCAGACCGCCGACGCAGGGCCGCCACGGTAGAAATGTATATGCCCAGGGCTGTGGGGGCTGGAAGTCCAGACGGTGCCGCCAGGGCTGGGGGGCTCTCGCCCTGGTTCACAGGCGCCAACCCCTTGCGGGGTCTGGGCGTGCGCAGGGAGCAGGGAGCCCCGGGCACCTGTTACAAGGCCACAGCCCTCTCGCTCAGCCCCCTCTTCTCACCCCGCTACCCTAAGTCACCTCCTTGAAGCCCCTCTTCAACACAGCTGGGGGGCAGAATTAGGGCCCTCATGAGGAGGGAGGTGCCACAAACCTGGAGGGAGCCCTGGCAGCAAGGAACCGGCACAGGTGACCTGCGAGTGACGCTCCTGCCAGGTGAGTGCAGAGGCCCTGGGTGAGTGACGGTGGCGAAATTAATAGCCCAGGTCTCAGCTGGGTCCTCACCTGCGCAGAGACTCAGAGTCCACACCCTTCTTGGGTCCACCGTGCCTGGCTGGTCACCCTTGGGCGCTGCCGGCCCAGTCCCCTCGCCGCGTGCCACCCTCACGTGGCCTTCTCCCAGCTGGGGACGAGCCAGGCGAAGCCGGCCAGGGGTCTCCAACTCCTGGGTCCCTGAGCACTTTGGACAGAGGGCTGGGGGCTCCCCCTGCGGAGGGAATGCGCCAGCCCCCAATGTCTGGTAACTGCCGCTGCTTCAGGCAGCTGACCACCGCTCAGCGCCCCTGTAGGGAAGTTCAGGGACCATCGCCCTGGCTTAGCTGTTACCCTACCTCCACCCCCCAACCCCCCACCCCAACTGACCACGGTTTGCTCCCTACAAGCACGAACCCGGCCGCCAGCCACACCCAGATTGGGATGGGCGCAAGTGCACCTGTGCGCGCCTTGTAGCTCAATAAATTTGTGAGTAGATGACTGTGTGCATGGTGTTTTTAAGCCCGTTAAAGAAGCTTAAACGGAGATGCAATTTGGACACAGCCATGCGGATATCAGGAAGCAGCGAGCCCGGAAGTAGCCCAGAAAGGGCTGGAAGATGCATCTGGGGCGTGGGGACGTGGTGGCTGCCCTGTGTGGAGAAAGCAAAGGCCCGGGGCAAATCCCACCCGCCTCCCCTTGCCAGCTGGCGATCAGGACCTGGGAGGTGACGCTGCGGCCAGGCTGTGGTGACCAGGGGCAGACGCCCCACTTTGCCGCATGGGGAGCTGAGAGATCACGTGGTCCCGGCATCTCGCTCCCTCAGAGAGCTGCGGTGGGGGTGGTGAGGGCAGCACAAGCCTTGGCGGAAGTGCCTGCTGGCGATGAGCAGACTCCGAGCCCGGTGCACTGCGCCGCTCTGTGCCCAGGCTCCTACTCTGTGGGGCCAGGCCACTTAAAGTGGAAAGGGGAGATGCAGTAAACTTGGTAAAGACATTTCCCCAAACACGGGCGGTGCGGTGCGTGCTAATGCATCCAGTTTTGCACGGTCTCACGAAAGGAACAAGGATGGGCAGCTTGATTTCATGACAGAAACTGAAGCTAAGAACCCCTGCCTAGAGTATATTTGGAATAGACTTGCCTTTTAGAGACATTTCTGGCTCAACAAAACAGCCGAAGCGCAGAGGCTTCCCCATGCCCTCTGGCCTGGCCCCGCCAGGACGCCCCCGCCTTGAGTGGGGCCCACAGAGCTGTCCACGCCTGCTACTGGCGGACTTAGGCTGCCACTTCGTGGTCACCCCAAGTCCCTTTGCGCCGGGTTCCCTCTGGGTGCGAATTCTGGGTTTGGACAAAGGCCTCACGACAGTGTCTTCCACTGCAGTGTCACAGCCATCTCGCTGCCCTGAAAGTCCCCCGAGCGCTGCCCATTCATCGCTCTCTCTAGGATCTTTTTTTAAAACAGTCTCCAGTCCATAGAAAATGCCCAAGTTTGCAGAGCCGGCGAGGCCGAGGCTGTTCGCGGTGAACCAAGCAGGGTCTGCAGGCTACAGGAAGCTGTTGGCGGCCCTGGGGAGAGAGGACTGCTGTGGCTGCCAGGCTCGGGGTGGGCAGAGGACTGTGTGCTGGAAGGACAGGCGGGGTTTGGCGACAGTGGGGCCTCAGGGGCTCTGGAAGCTGGGGGCGGCACTAGACCTGGGGACAGCCAGAAGGAGAGACCAGCAAGACCAGAAAGCACAATTTCAAGGTTTCAGTAGGGGGCAGTTAGAAGGGACCGGTTAAGAGGTGCCAAGCTGACCTCTGCTTCATTTCACTGGGTGGCCTTGGGCAAGTCCCTTCTCTCCTAGGAGAAGGCTGGACTGCAGTGTTGCAGAAAGGGCAAAAAGTGGCACGCACAGCAGGGCAGCGTCAGGGCAGACCGAAGATTCCCGAGGGCAGGCTGAGCAGGAGTCCAAGCCAGGAGGCTGCCTCGCTGGGGGAGCTGTCTTTGAAAGGGATCTGGCCACGGTTTCCTGCTGAGCAACAGGCGCTGCGTTTTTTCAGTCTGGCCAAACTGCAGGGAGAGAGAAACTTCGCAGCCCGAGCCCACTGGCCGCTTTCGAGTTGGGGGGGGGGGCTGGTGCCCCGCGGCGCCGCGGGAGGGGCTGGCGACCTGCGTCTGCCCAAGGTTAACCCATCCCCGGCAGCTGCCGCGTGCCTTGCAGACTTTCACCAGAAGAGGGTACAGTTGGAAAAGCTCTTGACGTCAGGCTGGAATTCCTATTGTGTTTCTGATCGGCTCCGGCAGAGCAAGCCCAAGTTCGCTCTCCGCTCTGCTCCGGACTGCGTGGGTCCCGCGGCTCCGGACACGCTGGGCGCGGGGGGCGCACGCGGGGGCCCGCGTGGCTCGGAGA